AAAGAAACTGTCCAGATGACCTGACTGAAAATTGTTGGATTTATATATAGTCTAAGTTATTTTAAGAATATTTAAATACAAGAAGAAAATCTCTATGATAAAGAGAGCAAATGTTTTAATTTATACACTTCTTCACAGTTAATATTTTTTTTTTGCTTTACTTATAAATCTCTCAACTGTATCATTAAAAAAAAGTAGATTAAACAAAAACATTAAATAGCTAAATAATGCAGTTGATCATCTCGAAAAGTCTTTAAACCAACAAACGTTTTAACTTTTCAGAACAGTGGAAATACAAGGCAAGGTAAACAATTTTAAAATTCAGAAACTTGCATATTACTTAATTATTTTTACGTCTCATCAGCAGCCTATACAAAAAAATGTGAAATGCAAAGTGCATCTCAAGGTAATTAAAGTTTGTGCATGTAGCATTGATCAGGATCCTGTTCCACTGGGTTTGTTGCCACAGGGGATAAAGACAAAGCTGAAAAAAAAGACTCAGTTTAAAAATAACAAACACACAGACATAAAAATAGATATAAAAATATGCATCCACAGAATGCTCAGGAGAACAAAAGAGCATGACTTCAAAAGGTATATTCTTCTAGTGTTGAGCCTGGGACAGGAATGAGTCATGATCTGAAGACCAGATCGTATCGTTTTAAAATCAGAGTGCATAAAATCACTAAAACTGGCAGGTGCAAACCGTGCAGACTGGTAAACTCTATCTGAGGCTTGAACTTGACTAACAGTTTATAAACTAAAAGAGGATGTACAGGGGGTAGATTAAAACACAAATATGTTAAAATAAATAGTTTTAAAACAATATTCCTCATCAAAATTAAGAAAAACTAGAGAAATTGCATTTCCTGCAAAAATGAAGTGAATGCTTATTGCTGAAGAACTCGCTGAAAAACAGCTAAAATTAGATAAAACATGCTGCAATGTAGCTGAAACTGAAGAACAAGCCTAAGTTAGCAGAAGAAAGCAGAAAGAACGTAAATGTGCAGAATTAGGTTTAAATAAGAAGAAATGAGCACAGACATTAGGAAATTATGATAACTAAAATACTGAAAATAGCTAAAAAGTAGCTGAAAAGACAGAAAGAAGCTTAAACTACAAGAATGAAGTGGAAGGAGCTGAAATGAGATCAGAAAATGTGGAATTAGCTGAAAAAGCTAAATGTAGCACACAAAAAAACAGCTAAATAGTAGCTGAAATAGCAGAAAAAGCTGAAAATAGCAGAAAAAAGCTGAAAGGAGCATAACAAGCTGAAATTGTTAGAAATAATTTAATTAGGCTAAAAGTCGCAGAAATTACTTTGTACCACAAAAATTTGAATGTAGCTGAGAACAGCTGAAATTAGCTAAGAAATGCTAAAAAGTTAGCTGAAAAGGTAGAACAAGCTTAAATTAGCAGAACAAAGTGGAGATAGCACCATTTTTCTTTATTAGGCTGAAAAAGCAGAAATGAGTAAAAAAAAAAACTCTGAAAAATAGCTAATAGCAGAAAGAATCTTAAATTACCAGAAGTAGAGAAAGCACATTTTTGCTGAATTAGTCTGAAAACAGTTTAAATGAGTGCAAAAAATGTGGAATTAGATGAAAAATCTAAAATTAGCATAAAAGAGTTAAATAGTAGTTGAAATAGCATAAAATGCTGACACTTGCAGAAATAAGCTGAAAGGAGCATTGCAAGATGAAATTAGTAGAAACATTTTAGAAGAAGCAGAAAAATGTTGTTGGTAGCAGAGATATTCTGAAAGTAGCACAAAACATCTGAAAAAACTGCTTAAATTAGCTGAAAGTAGCTGAAAAAATGTTTAAATTTGCACAAAGAAGCTGAAAGAAGCTGAACCAGAACAAAATGTGAACGGAGCAGTAAAAGGTTGTGAACAGATCTAAAGACATGAAGGATGTAAATGAGCACAATTTGTTTTCTACTAGATAAAAACAGCAGAAAAGGCTAAATATTTCAAAAAGCTGAAGTTGCACCAATGCCAAAGTCATAACACCCTTGAAGCTGAACAATTTGATCTATGATTTGTTGAAATAGCACTAAAATTGTGGAATAAAAAAGATGCCAAAAAATGTACAGAAGAAAAACGGATCAGAATAGTGTGAATGCTTCATAAGCGTTCACACAAAAATAAAAGCTCATATTTTATATATGAAGCTAAAGTCTGCCTGGTCAGTAGTGACCCCGAGATAATTACTGACCGAATTTAATGCATGAAAAGACAAACCTACAGCAGAGATAATAGACTCTTTTTATTTTTTTAAACACTGAGCTGTAGAAAATTATTAATCATCTCATTCTTAATTGTGGTGTCATGTTAAACACACTTTCTTCCCCCAAATTTTCCGCATAAATGATGTTTAATTGAATATCTTCTGCCTCGCTGTGATAAGAAACACCTTTAAAACTCATTACAATGTACCCGAGGGTGTGCATACTCAACGCAAACAAGACAAGAGTCAGAACAAAACCTTTTGGTACACCACTCAGCTGTGGAGCAAACGAGGAGGTATATGGTTACCAACGGCAACTGTTAGAGAGGCAGGAGGAGAACCATTTCAGGGCTGACCCAGATATCATCACAGGCTGCCCATCTGGGTAACGATGTTCTCCTGCATTAGGTCACCAGAACAACAATGGTTCGCTTTTCCTGAAATTAAAGAGGTGTAGCATCAGTGTTTTTCAAACACAACAGCCAATGGATGTTTTGAACGGCTGCACTTAGTGCTAAATTATGACGTTGTTGTGAATAAATGACGTGTTGCTCTTACAGTATTATGTTGAGATTCTGGCAATCACAGCTGCTGGGATCTTCCCATGATTTCCACAGTTTTGGCTGTACTGTCACACATTGACATCATACAGTTTTTGTTAAATTATGACAACCACAGCTGCTGGTTTTTATTGTGGAGTCTACTGTATTGTCACACACGGTCATTAGAGATACAGTGAAGGTGAACACAGTTGTCAGTATATTACTGTATGGGCGCATTCACACCAGCCCTGTTGTCCCGATCTCTAGCCCATTTGCCTATGAAGTCTGGTTCATTTGGAGAGGTGTGAACGCTCCATCGAACTCTGTCACGGAACAAAAAGGCGAACTCTGGCCCACCTAAAAACCTAGGTCTCGGTCCGATAGAAAAAAACTCTAGCGCGGTTTGAGTACAGTGTGAATGCAAGCAGACCGGACACCGCGCCACAAGCAGGAAGTGGACTAGAGTGCAGGGCAAACAAACACACATTTCTCTTACCTCATACGGAGCTGTCGGCTTGCCTTGTGTGAAAAACAACAGTCTCCATGGTCTTCTGCCTCATCTTCCGCTCACGCTGAGTCCATTGTTGAAAAATGACAAAATAGAACTCCTAAACAGCTAAAATTTGACACCACTCAATTTTTGTTTTTATTTCCATAAGAAGAAGAAGAAAAAAAAGAAGAAGAAGACCTGTCTTCAGAGGTTTTTGTGTGGTTTCTTTCAGTAGTTCTTGGT